CAGATGCAAATGGACTGTATACTTTCAAGGATATTCCACTTTGCACATATGCCATTGCCGTTCCCGAGGAGGTGAGCGTAGCGGATGGAGTCAAGCCAATCAACGAAGGTTACGACAGCGATGTCACCAAGGCCGAAGCGGATGTTACAATCGATTTAGTTCAGGCGGTTGTCACTGATGTTGATTTCATATACAAGGTGCCAGCTGTCATTTCTGGAACGGTTACAGGTTACGAGGATGGAGAAGGTATCGAAAATGTTACAGTGACTGTGACTTGCTCAACAGACATGACTATCATGTATGAAGCGATCACGGATGCAGATGGAAATTACACCATTGACGAGAACATGGAGGACTGTAATTACATCGTGACGGTGCCAGAGACCTTTAACGGGGAGCCTATCGAGGGTCGCAGCGAGACGACGATAAGCATCACACCCACTGATCGCACAGGAGAGGCGACTTTCACATACGTTCCTCTTGGAACCATTTCGGGACACACTCTCAATGATTTCGACCAAACACCTTTGGCCAACGTTGTTGTGACGTTGAGCTGCAATGATGTGGTTGAGGAGACTAGCACGGACGCTTCAGGTTTCTACATCTTTGAGGACCTCAAAAATTGCGATTACGTTGTAGCCGCCCCAGCTTCAGTCAGTTCAGCTGAGTTTGAGGGTATCATTGTCATCGGACCGGCCGATGACGACGGCAAGAAGAGAGAACACACTGTTGGCATCAACAGTGACTATGTGGAGGAGGTGAATGTTGATTTCAAATACCTTCCGCAAGGAACCATTTCTGGTAACTTACGGGACTTTGCCAGTACTGATGGCATTGCAAATCAGACTGTAACTCTAACTTGTTCCGATCCCGTGGTATCGACATCGACACAGACCGATGCGGCTGGTAACTACGAGTTCCTTGATCTTGGATACTGCGACTACACGGTTGCAGCCCCAACATCGGTGGATAATGTTGGTGATATCTACGACGGACCTACAGACACTGATGATGTTCTTTCTTCTACCACTGTTGAGATCTCATTCGAAGATCCATCTGCGGGTGAAGTTGACTTTACCTATTCAGAGGTCGGAACTATCTCTGGAACTATCTACGAGGACTTTGTCGATGCGAACAATGGAGCGGGGGAGGTTACGGTCACAATACAATGCACCGATGCCAACAACTTCACGATGATAAGTGTGACTGGTGCGGATGGAGCGTACGCTTTCAACGATATTCCACTATGTGAATATGTTATCTCTGTTCCCGACGAGGTGAGCGCGACTGATGGCTCGAAGCCAATTAATGTAGGCTATGACGCCGATGATACTATGACCGAGGCGGATGTTACCATTAGTCTTGATGTGCCGGAGGTCACTGGTGTTGACTTTGTATACAAGGTTCCAGCTGTCGTTTCTGGCATTGTAACAGGGTACGAAGATGGTGCAGGAATCGAGAACGTTACAGTAACTTTGACTTGCTCAACAGACATGACTATCGTATATGAAGCTATTACGGATGCTGATGGAAGGTACACTATTGACGAGGATATGGAGAACTGTGACTACACCGTGACCGTGCCAGAGACGTTCAACGGGGAGCCTATCAAGGGTCCCAGCGAGACGACGGTGAGCATTACGCCTACCGTTCGCACAGGAGAGGCGGACTTCGTGTACGTTCCTCTTGCGACCATCTCCGGACAGGTAGTCAATGATTTCGACCAGTCGCCTTTGGCTGATGTTGTCGTGGCATTGAACTGCGATGACGTTGAAGTGAACAGTACCACTACCGATGGATCAGGCAACTACGTATTCGAGGACCTTGTAGACTGCGCATACACAGTCACTGCACCATTATCTGTCAGCCAAAGCGACTTCGCAGGCATCATCACCGATGGACCGGTTGATGAGGATGGTAGTGTGAGGGAGCACGATGTTGTCATTACTAGCGACAATCTGAATGTTGAAGACATCGATTTTGCGTATCTTCCTCAGGGAAGCATATCAGGTACTCTTCAGAACTTTGTTACTGGAGAAGGAATTGCCAACCAAGATGTTGTTGTTACTTGCGATGAGACCACGCCAGCCATAACCAGGACCGAAACAACGGATGCGGATGGTCGTTACGAGTTTACTGGACTCGGCTACTGTAATTTCACTCTTGTGGCACCTGTAAGTGTAGGCCCCGATGGTGTCTTCGAGGGACCTGAAGACACGGATGGCATTGTGTCATCTACCAGTGTCGATGTTACCTTTGAGGACCCGACTGAAGTTGGCGTGGACTTCACTTACGCTGCGGTGGGCAGCATTTCGGGTGGGATATACGAAGACTCAATTGCTCCTACCAATGGCGTCGAGGCGGTAGTGGTCACATTGGTATGCACTGAGATGGACAACTACACGCTAACAAGCACAACAGATGCCAACGGAGCGTACGACTTTAGCGATATTCCGCTATGTCTGTATAATATCTCTGTACCTGGAGATGTGAGTGTGACTGGTGGAGTCAAGCCAATCAATAGTGGTTACGACATCGACGACACCTTGACTGAGGCAGATATCAGCTTCGATCTTGAAGAGAGTATTGTCAACGATGTTGATTTCATATACAAGGTGCCAGCAGTCATTTCCGGAAACGTGACTGCCTACTTGGACGGAGAAGGTATTGAAAATGTCACTGTGACTGCCACGTGCGCAGAGGACATGTCGATCGTGTACGACACCATCACGGATTCTTCTGGAGCTTATGTCATTGACCAGAATATGGTCGACTGCACATACATTGTGACGGTGCCAGAGACGTACAACGACGAGGTGATCAAGGGTCCTAAGAACGTTTCGGTGAGCATTTTGCCCGATGTTCGTTCCGGAGAGGCGGACTTCTTATACATTCCTCTTGGATCAATTTCCGGACATACCTTCAATGATTTCGATCAAACACCTTTGGCCAACGTTAACCTGTCATTGATCTGCAATGGTGTCGAGGTGGCAAGTGCCACCACCAATGGTTCAGGTTATTACATTTTCGAGGATATTGTAGACTGTTCGTATACTGTTGCCGCCCCACCTTCGGTCAGTCTAGACGCATTCGAAGGTGTCATTGTTAATGGACCAATCGATGAGGATGGTAAAGAGAGGGAACACGATGTTATAGTCATCAGCGACGATTTACACGAGGTGAATGTTGATTTCAAGTATCTTCCGCAAGGCACCATTGCTGGTAATTTGCGGGATTATGTCAGCAACGCTCCCATTGCAGATCAGACTGTCACTCTAACATGCTCTGATCCCGAGATATCAATGTCGATCCAGACCGACGCGGACGGTATGTACGAGTTCCAAGATCTTGGATACTGCGACTACACGATCGTAGCGCCTGCATCTGTTGGTAATGTTGGTGATATCTACGAGGGACCCACGGACACGGATGAGGTTCTATGGTCTACTATTGTTCCCATTACATTCGAGGATCCCTCTGAGGGCGAAGTTGACTTCACCTACACGGAGGTTGGAAGTATCACTGGTACACTATATGAGGACTTTGTTGATGCGGACAATGGGGTGGATGCCACTACGGTTACATTGCAATGTACCGATGTCAATGACTTTATTATAACAACAGAGACAGATGCCAATGGCGAATACTCCTTCCTTGATATTCCACTATGTGCATACGTTATCTCTGTACCCGATCAGATAACCGGAAGCGGCGAATCGAATCCAATCGCTCTCATTGCTGAGGGCTACGACAGCGATGACACTAAGGCTGAGGCGGATGTTACCATCGACCTTGTTCAACAAGATGTCGCCGACGTTGATTTCTTGTACATTGTTCCTGCGGTCATTTCTGGAAACATTGTTGGTTACGAGGATGGCGAGGGTATCGGAAACGTCCCAGTGACTGCGACGTGTGTGGAAGATCCGTCTATCGTCTATTCAGTTGTCACTGAGTCAAATGGAGATTATATTTTCACTGGAGATGTCGAGAACTGTAACTACACCGTGACTGTACCAGAGACATTCCTTGGAGAGCCGATCAAGAGTTCCAGCGAAGGTACTGTGAGTATCACGCCCAGCGATCGCACAGGAGATGTAGACTACGTCTACATCCCTCTCGGAATCATTTCCGGAAACGTACTGGATGATTTCGACCAGTCGCCTTTGGCGAACGTTGACTTGGTATTGAGTTGCGATGGTGTTGTGGTGAATACCACCACAACAGACGCGGACGGTTATTATATCTTTGACGATCTTCTGGACTGTGCTTACACTGTCACTGCTCCCCAGGATATCAATATCACTGATTATGAGGCCGTCATGACAACGGGACCAACTGATGAGGACGGTATCCTTTGGCAGCACGATGTTGAAATCTATGAGGACAACTTGTTTGTGGACGTAGATTTCGCATACACGAAGCAAGGTAGCATATCTGGTACTCTTCTGAACTATGTCAGTGGAGATGGAATCGCAGGCCAAGATGTTGTGCTAACTTGCGCGGATTCTTCCCCGGTTCTTTTCCGTACCGTCACGACAGATGCAGATGGTTTCTACAATTTCACTGGACTCGGCTTCTGCGATTTCACAATCGTGGCACCTGCCATTGTGGACTCCGATGGCGCCATTTTCGATGGTCCCATCGACACAGACGAAGTTCTGTATTCTACCACGGTCGAACTCACTCCCTCGAATCTATCTGAAAATGAGGTCGACTACTTATACACAGCGGTAGGCAGTATCTCAGGTTCCGTGTTCGAGAATAATGTGGACCCAACTAGTGGTGTGGCTGGAGTACCGATTACGTTGACATGTACTGAATCAGACAACATCACATACACAATCGAATCGGACGAGAATGGAGACTATTCCTTCGACAACGTTCCCGTTTGTGCATACATTGTCTCCATACCCCAAGTGTTGAATGGAACTGATGGAGAGTGCCCCTGTCCTACACTCAATAATACTGAGCTCCAGATACCCGTTGTTCTCACAGTCACAGAAAACGAAGTGACTGATGTTGATTTCTTATATACCTTGCCAGCAGTCATTTCCGGCACCATTTTAGGACATGAGGATGGCGTTGGTATCGAAGGTGTCCCTGTGACTGCTACGTGTGCTGAAGATCCGTCTAATGTTATCGTAGTGTATACCGATGCGAATGGAAATTACAGCATGAATGATGTCGCGGACTGCACATACTTCATAAATGTGCCGGAGGAATTCGAGGGAGAACCTATTTTGGGCCAAAATATGACATATGTGAGCATTACAACCATTGATCGAACAGCAGAGGAGGACTTCATCTATTTCCCGACGACTGGAAGAGTCTCTGGACACATTCTCAGTGACTTCGACCAATCGCCTATAGCTGATGTCACTGTTGTTTCATATTCGAACTGTGATGGTACGGTAACAAATACCACCACAGATAGCGAGGGTTATTACGCCTTTGAAAACCTTGAACTTGCCGAATGTACATACACTATTACTGCTCTACCTGCCATTAGGTCATCTACGTTCGGCGGAGCTATTTCCACGGGACCTATTGATGCTGATAGCATCATTACAAATCACGATGTCACCATTTCTTCCGAAGATCGAGCCGGAGACGATATTGATTTCTTATACACGCCTGAGGGTACCATTTCTGGTAATCTTCAGGACTACGTCACCAGTGACGGCATTGCAAACCAAAATGTCACCCTGACGTGTGCTGAATCCGGAGTAAGTAAGTGGACACAGACCGACGCAGATGGTAACTTCTTGTTTGTCAACCTTGGATATTGTGACTTCACTGTCGTGGTACCCGAAACGGTACCATACGGTGGTGGTGTCTATTCGGGACCCGAAGACGGCGATGGTGACGTTTCGTCTACTACAGTTCCTGTCACATTCGCGAACCAATCTGTAAAGGATGTAAACTTCAAGTACGGAGAGTTGGGAAGCATTTCAGGAGTCATCTACGAGGACTCTGCTGCTGAGGGCAATGGAGTTGGTGGCGTAACGGTCACACTGGTCTGCACTGATGCTATCGATGTCAAACTAACAACGGTAACGGATGCGAATGGAGAGTACAATTTCGACGATATTCTGCTTTGTCCGTACACTATTAACGTACCTGAAGAGGTGAGCGCAACTGGTGGACTAAAGCCAATATTCGACGGCTATGATAGCGATCTTACTTTGATTGAGGCGTCGGTCCCCATTAGTGTTGACGAGAGGGACCTTACAAATGTCGATTTTGTATACAAGGTTCCAGCAGTCATCTCGGGAGTTGTAGCAGGTGAAACTGGGTCTCTTTCAGGAGTTCCTGTAAGTGTGACGTGTGCAGAGACGCCGTCTGTTGTATATGATGTCGTCACAGATGTGACTGGATCTTACTTCATCAACGATGTCCCTGACTGTACCTACTCTGTGACAATACAAGAGGTGTTCGAAGGCCAAGTTGTCCAGACCAATATCGATACTGTGAGTATCACGTCCGCTGTTCGCACGGCAGAATCTTCGTTCCTATACACACTCATCCCCCCAGCGGTAATCTCTGGAACGGTGACTGGAGCGACTGGAGTTGGTATTGCAGGTACTACTGTAACTGCGACTTGCCTCAATGATACATCTATCGTATACTCAACCGTTACGGATGCTACCGGAGCTTACAACATCGCTAATTCGATCGAGGATTGCACATATTCAGTGTCGGTACCTGAGACGATTAACGGAGAGTCTATCACTAGTCTCTCTGAGGAAATTGTGACCATCACGGCTACTGCCCGTACTGGGATAGCTGAATACGTGTACGGACCTCCAGCAGTTATCTCTGGAATGGTGACCGGAAAGGATGGAGCTGGTATCGCAGGTACTACTGTAACTGCGACTTGCGTCAATGATACATCTATCATATACACAACCGTTACGGATGCTACCGGAGCTTACAGCATCGCTGACTCGATTAAGGACTGTACATATTTAGTGTCGGTACCTGAGACGTTCAACGGAGAGCCTATCAGTAGTGTCTCTGGGGAATTTGTATCCATCACGTCTACTGTCCGCACTGGGGTAGCTGACTACGTGTACGGACCTCGCGGAATTATCTCAGGATACACGCTCAATGACTACGACCAGAGTGCGCTGGCTAGTGTTCCCGTTACTCTAACATGTAACGGTGTTATACTGATGACCGTCAGTGATGCAACTGGATACTATATGTTCGATGATCTTTACGACTGTGACTACCTTGTCACCGTGCCACCCACTGTCACTACCTCTGCTTTCAATGGCATTGTTGTTGGTGGGACCGTCCTGAATGGATCGGCAGAGCAGCAAAGCGTAATAATTGATATCAACAATGCCATAGAGGAGAACGTTGATTTCAAGTACTTGCATCAAAACGCCATCGCCGGAAGTCTGAAGGATGCCGTTACTGGAGCTGCTATCGCGAATCAAACCGTCACACTGACTTGTGCAGATCCTAGCATCGAGGAGACCACCGTGACAGATGCTAATGGTAACTACGAGTTCAATGAACTAGCTTTCTGCATCTATTCTGTTGTTGCGCCATCTTCGGTGGATTCCGTTGGTGCAATCTACGGTGGACCGATCGACACCGACAATTTGCTATCGTCAACGGAAGTTATCATTTCGATGGCCTCCCAGTCGGTGGGTGAAGTCGATTTCGAGTACGGGTCGACCGGCAGTATTTCTGGTTACGTACGAGAGGAGGACGCGACTGGTGCTATTGTTGGTGGAGTTGAAAATGTCCCAGTTACTGCGACATGCCAAGAGAATCCATTACTCACATTTGAGGTCCCCGCCACTGGTGTCGATGGTGCTTACACGTTCCCGTCGCTTCCGATTTGCACGTACAATATCTCTGTACCGAGCAATGTGACTGACCCCGCTGATAGCACTAACATTCTGCAGATTATAAATGGCGCCACCGATGGAGGTGATGCCGAAGCTACGACCTCAGTCATATTGTCCGTGCTAGAGAATATCCAAACCGATGTGGACTTCGGCTATCAGTCAGCAGGAGAGTGTATCTCTGGCATTGTCTCAGCTATTGATTCGGATACACAGCTTGGTGGTGAAACAATCAAAATCACATGTGATGATGGCTTTACCCAGACGACGGTTACCAATGACCTTGGCGTCTACTCGTTCAATGACGTGCCCCCTACTGCCGTATGCGAGATTACTTTCGCCGATGAGCCTAATACTGTGGAGATAGACTTCAAGGATAGCTCAGCTGAGTGCATTGCGCCTGCGCCTAGTCCGACACCAACGGCATCGCCGTCACCCGCGGATCTGGCGCCAGTCGGAACATCAACAACTCCTAGTCCAGTGCAGTCGCCATCGCAATCACCAGCATCATCACCAGCAGCTAGTCCAACCGCGTCACCCGCAGCTGAGGGTGAGAGTGCGGCTGGAGAATGTGTTTCCGGAACCGTATCCGATGTTGATACTGATGAACCACTGCCAAATATTCCTATAACGGTCCTTTGTACGGACGGCTTTACGCAGACGGTCACTACTGATGAGCTCGGCGAGTACGCCTTCAACAATGTGCCTGCCGCTTCGTCCTGTGACATTACGATCGATGACTCTGCATCTCTTGTTGCATTTGTCGTTGGAGACGACACAACAGCAGAGTGCATTGCGACAGAATCATCGCCATCGCCAACGCCGAGTGTGAATGAGGAACCTAGTCCAACGCCAACCGCTTCACCAGCAGCTGGTGATTGTGTTTCTGGAACCGTAACTGATGTTGTTACTGATGAACCACTGCCAAATGTTCTTGTAACGATGCTTTGTGTGGACGGCTATACGCAGACAGTCACTACTGATGAGCTCGGTGAGTACGTCTTCGACGCTGTGCCTTCCGTTTCGTCCTGTGACGTTACGATCGCTGATGACTCTGCGTCTCCTGTTGGATTTGTCCTTGAAGACGACTCACTACAGTGCATTGCATCATCAGCTAGTCCAGACCCAGTCACGTCACCAGCGGCTGCTACTGTGGCTAGACGATAGTTCCACTAATGAAGTGCTTCCAGATGCCCAAGTAACGATCACTTGTGCGCATGGCTTTACGTAGACGGTCACTACTAATCAGCTCGGTGAGTACAGTTTCACCGATGTGCCTTCATCTGCGAACTGTGACGTTAAGGTCGACAGCTCTGTGTTGCTTCCTACCACTGGTTCGACGTTTGCCGTTGAAGTTGATCTGGGTGGGGACTCCGCCATATGCACTGGTGCATCACCGTCGTCAACACTGTCGCCATCATCCCTGCCTTCTACCTGTGCGACAGGTAGAGTAACAGACTTCGCAAATAATGGTGCGGCTATACCCAACTTCCCTGTTGTGATCAATTGCTATTTGGGCCAAGAGATTGTGTACACTAAGCAGCTTATTACTGATGCCAATGGCGAGTACAAGTTCCCTAACGTGCCTGAAGGTTACGAATGTGAAGTGTCTGTAGATGTCGAAGCTGACCTCATCGGAGTGGATGTCAATGTGGAAGAAGAAACGGCAACATGCTTGCGCGTGTGAGCCTGTTACTGAGGTCTCAATTTCGGAACGTTAAAGAAATATACTAAAAGGAAATAAAAATATATAATAATATTTCTGCTACATTTTTAAATCTCAACTCTATCGCAAATGTGCCAATGAAACATGGATATTCAATTCATGTTTTTGCGTATATATCTTTTCTCATGATAGTGTTTGTTGGTGTTTAGGTGTATCTAATGAAACGTTCTATTAAATTTAGTGAATCTCTCACTACACATCACAGTGTAGTCTATGTGGTTTTATATAGGTTTAGATGTATTTAAGCATGATAAGGTAAGATATCTTTTGCTACTATTGAAGGTCATGATAATGTAGCGTTTATGTGTTTAGATGTATTTATGGTTCTCTATACGTGATGAAGGTATGATATTTCTTGCTACACATGATAAAGTAGTGTAGCGTATATGTTTTTAGATGTATTTAAGGTATCCCTCTACACATGACAATGTTAAGGTATCTATCTCTACACATGAGTAAGTGTAAGTGTTTCGATGTGTTTATGGATATCTACACATATGTATAGATTGTCAGATGATGTGCTTTCTTGTATTTTAGCCATTTCTATACGTTCTTGTGTACGTGTTCAGAGTATGTGTTCGGACTCATTCGATGAATGCGTTAATAATCATATAAATTCAATGAATGCGTTAATGTTCATATAAGCACATGTATGTTGTACTTTTGATCTTGCGATGATTAATATATATATATAGTCCTCATGAATCTTCTTGCAGTGGTTAAGATATAAATGTATTCCTCATGGAACTTTTTGCAGTGATAAATATACATATGTATATATATATATATATATATTAA